GATGGCTGTGGTGGGGGGGTACTAGAAAAGAAAAAAAAAAGAAAGACACCTGAAATGTTCAAGCTAAATCTTATCCTTTTTCTATTTTAGCAGGGAGGCAGAAAATGTCCTACTTCATTCCCATAGATATTGTTTATAGGTAAAAATCCGTTGAAGAGTGTGTGTGGTGTCTATCTTTCCTTTTTAAAAAAGATTTTATTTATTTTTAGAGACAGGGAAAGGAAGGAGAGAGGAAGAGAAACAGCAACACGTGGTTGCCTCTTGCACACCCCCTCCTAGGGTCCTAGCCCACAACCCACAGCTGGGAATTGAACTGGTGACCCTTTGGTTCACAGCCTGCACTCAATCCACTGAGCTACACCAGCCAGTGCAATCTTTATTTGTTTGTCTATTAAATATGTACAAGTCTTTAAAAAATATAATGTCAAAATATATCACAAATTGGAATAACAAAATACTGCCTAAGAAGGGACTTTTATACAGTAGTCAAAGCATTAATATCCAGAAAATATGTACCCCAACAAATGAATTTTAAAAAAGACAAAACAAATTTTAGAAAAAGAGCATATTTTTATAAATATATAGAGCATATTTTTGGGGCAGTCACAGAGAAAATGGCCAATCAATACATGAAGAAGTGCTCTGTTCCTGATAATTATGGAAATGCAAATATGCAAGTTAAGAAAAAGTAACCCCACCATTCAATTCACTAGGTTGTCAAAATATTAAAAGTCTAACAATATCAATTATAAGTGAGAACGAGAGCACACAGATAGTCTCAATCATTACACTTGAGAAGGTAAGTTAGTGCACCTTGCTTACAGAGCAGACTTCCTCAATTGAAAGGTATAGAGAGTAAGTATTTTAGGCTTTGAGGGCCAAGAGACAATAGTTATGATATTATACAAGTAGTCAACCATTTGAAAATGCACAAACCAGTCTTAGTTCACAGGCTGTATAGATGAAGCCTATGGATCAGATTTGGTACATGCTTGCAGATCTGTGTTTCATTTGGGCAGTATTCAGTATTCTACTTTCTGGCATATATACTAGAATAACTTTCTTTTTTTAAATAAAAGATTTTATTTGTTCCTTTTTTAGACAGGGGGAAGGGAAGAGAAAGATAGGGAAAGAAACATCAATGCATGGTTACCTCTTATGCTCCCCACACCAGGGTCCTGGCCCCACAACTCAGGTATGTGTCCTGACTGGGAATTGAACCAGGAACCTTTGGGTTATAGACCAGCACCCAATCCACTGAGCCACACCAGCCAGGGCTATACTAGAGAAACTTTCATACCAGTGGACACAAAGTACAAATGTATTATAAAACATTATATACAACATTATAAAACAACCTAAATATTCACTGCAAACTGATAAACAAACATGGCATATTCAGTCATATTTCATTATTCATGACTATACATACCAAGTGAGTTTTATGTATATTAAGATAAAATGATTTCAAAAACAATATTTAGTGAAAAACTTAAAATTATGTAGAGCTTGATACTACTTATTCTGAAAATTGCTGCTCCTAATGATTTGCAAAGAGGGAAACATATGATCAAATTAACGTGGTCCCAGAATGGTGTATGGTTATTATGGCAGAGAACTGTGCTCACAAGTCATCTCCACCAGAGGTGGTCATCAGTGCACTGCAGCAGTGCTTCTCGAACTGAAAGTCAATGTTAATGTTAAAAATGAGTGATATAAAATGTTTCTAGATAATAACCTTAAATTAAAAACCCTAAATATTTTAAATGGATATATATATACACATATATGAGAAACTACTGTATTTCACTGATTTTAACATGCATATTTATTTTCATTTTAAAAGCTCTGAAATTGGATATAACTTATCTTCATTTTTAGTTTAGTTGTTTTTTGTTAATTTTACACAGAATAAGAGTCTTCTTATAGTTGATAGTATGTTAAATTTAGTGAAATATGATTTAAAACTGGAAGACAGATTCATACCAAATTTATTCGGTATGCATGGAGACAGTAATTATCTCCATTGTGTGGTGAAAAAAGAGGAAGGGAGAGAGAAACTTGTTCCAGGAAGAATCATAAATAATATTTTGAACTGATTAACAATACTTTATATCTATAAATTAAAAACATGTAAAGTAACATAAAAACATTTTAGCATATATTCACATACAACTTAAATGCATACACCTTACTTAAAGGAACTTACTTAAAGGAACTCAGTGTTAGTGATAGCTAATAAGCTATCTGCTTGCTATGATCATCTGCTTGTTTCATGGCTAAAATCTCCCTTAAAATACAAACTCGAGTTACTTGGCAATGGCAAAGTTGGGCACTAGATGTGGGGCATTATTATTTCAGATATAAGATGACAGAAAGCAGGAAAGTTTGATTCTTCCAAGTTACACACATAGTGTCAAACAGAACCTGTATCTAAATTTTGAACTCCAACTCCATATTCTTGTACTCTACCATATTTACTAGACCTCCTTCATTGACTTTTCAATTCTCAATTGCTTTACGGATTTGAAAAATATTATGAGTAAAAGAACAAAAATTACCTTTTTTGTTTTAACTAAAAATTTTGAAAATAACAATAAAGTCATAATAAGTATTTTGAACAGAAAGTTAAATCAGTGGAATGAAGAAATGGAGTTAGAAATGAGTTTGCAAGCTGTGTTCAGTGGATTCCTAAAGGCTCAGGTGAATCTCAGAAATCCTTGGAAGTGCTCTACTGTTCCATAATCATTGCCACATTTTTGACCCAATAAGGAAAATTTAGACTACGCAAGAAGCCTGTGTACCAGATTTAATATAGTATTCTGTTATATTAGCAATTCCTGTAGTTCACTTGAAAAACATTTGCTTTGCTAAATAGTTTTCTGGCTAGATAGTTTTTCTTTCTGCTTTTATAATGTGTGAGTCTCTGACTTAAGGATCAAATCTATATCTGCATGTAAAAAATCTACAGTGAGGTTAGCAAACAAGTATATTGTTTTAATAGAAAAACAATTACATAGATCATTCCCATACATCCATTATTTCAATCATATCTATCCTGCACTTAACTAATGATCAATACTCTCTAAGCTATTTCATATCTGTTTAAAGGAATGTATACAGATAGTAGGTGCTTAATGAACATCAGTTGAATTCATGAATGAGTGAGTAAATGATGGATGAATAAATGAATGACAGATACAGACTTAAAGGTCCTGGAAAGGAGTATGCAAAGACCTCAGGATCAAGTGTCCTGTGAACTCTAGCATAGTCAGATTTGCTTCTGGAAGCCAGGCCTTCATTACCACTACTCAATGTTCCTTCCCTTTGTGAATATTTTAAAAGTTACCATATAAAGAATGACAAAATTATTTCTTTGTGGTTCTCCTGTTTGAACCCAAGACTTTAAACCACATAACAATGCATCTCCCATATACTTTGTGAACATGTCTGAGTTTTGAAAACCTTTACTTATAGCAAATGCAACCTCTAATATAATATCTAGTTTTTCAAGTACTTGCTTGATTCATAGATATTTAAAATTAGAAGGGATTTTAGAGTTCATATGCAATTTGCTTTATTTTAGTAACTCTTTGGAAGAGGTCTGATCTGATGCAGATGTTTTCAGTGACCATAGTAAGTTTCCAAATCTAGAGAAGTAGCAATAAGTAGTAGCAAGATCATATGAGAACAGGCAGCCCTAGGGACGTTCTGACTCTAACGTTTACACTCTGTGGCATTGGGCACATTAGTTTAACTCCTCTAAGCCTCAGTTTCATCATCTGTAAAATGGCAATGTTACATACCTTGGTTATTCCAAATATTAGTAATAAAATTGTGAAATATTTTGCCTTTCAGTAGTAGTAGCAGTTGTTTTAATACCGTATGTTCCTAGTAAATGGGAACATTTTGGGTCTCTAACTTGGAGATTTTAACATAAGAGTAGAGCTTAAGTTTGCTTCTTAAACATGCACGAATTTATTACATAAAGATGTACATTTCACATTAGAAAGACCTGAAAGTTATATCCCTTACTCTGCCACAGGCCACATTTCATAACATTTTTTTGGAATTCAGTCTTTGTTTATTTTATTTTTTTTTCATATTTTTTATTTAGTTATTTTTCAAGTACAGGTTTTTGTCTATTTCTCCCATCCCAGTCCCCCCTGCCCCGTGCTCCCCACCTCCCTCCCATTTCCACCCCCCTTAGTTCTCGTCCCTGTGTCCTTCATATTTGTTTCTCCAAATCCCTCCCCTTTTCCCCCTTAAATTCCCTTCCCTATCCCCTCTGGTCACTGTCCCCTTGTTCTCTATTTCAGTGTCTTTGTTTTTTTTCTGCTTGCTTGTTTGTTTTGTTGTTTAGCTTCCTGTTAATAACATTTTTGTTTTTAATAAAAATACATTGAAGAGACAACTCTGTGTGACAGAATTTTTTTTCTTGGATTTGGTATTCAGTTTTTATTGTGCTTTTAAAATACTTACTGCTATGTGTTTATTTTTTCCTATCTCCTTCTTTCCATTACACATAGCACAAAAACACTGAGCTGATTTATATTTAACTGACTGTACCCTGAGGTCTTCAGTGTCTATCTTCAACTTAATGACAGCTGTGAAGAAGATGAAGTTGAAGAGAGTGTCTCTACAAGATTAATAATAATAATAATAATAATAATGTAGTTCTGGTTTCATTCTTAGATCATCTAGGGTGTGAATGATTAGAGACATTTAAATTGATATGTATATGTGAAATTTCTATTTTGTCTTGTTTGCCTTCATGCAAACACTTATACCTAAGGAGACAACTTCTTATTTACATCTGAAATCCCATTTCTTAAGTTCATTTATTCATAGAAATCAAATATAAAAGAGACCTCATCCAACCAGACTAATCTGCATTGGTTTTCTAGCGCTCATTCAGAGAGTCAAAGTAGGCCAAAAACCTGTTGATGCTCATCCCATTATAAACTCTAAGACATAAATGAAAGAAGTGCTAAACTCACCAGAGTGGCAAAAAGATGATAGAGAATGAAATAGATGGCAACCACAGGTGCCCACATGTGTCCCACAGCATTTAGAGTTTGGTCCATTACATCCACCCATCCTTCCTGGGTAAGAATCTGGAACATGGACATAAATGCCTACAGAGGAAAAGAGTCGACATATTACACATCAGCTTTAGGCTTGCATACAATTGAAAATTAGTATATGATGTTTGAAGACTTTGATCTCAATAGTATTGATCCTTATCTGATTACTTAGGAGAAGAACAGCTTTAATTCAACAGAGGGGAAATGGCCAAAAGCTATAGATCATAAAAGCCTAGCTAACTACTCAGTATGGAAAACTGAAATAATTGTCCTGAATTAAAATTGGCCTTGTTAGTGGTAAACACTGTTGAGAAAAATTAGAAAAAAAGTTAGGACCTTAGCTTATTTGCATTTCTTTTTTCTCCTCTAAGTAAGCTAGGTATTTAACATTTTCAACAGATTATTGCAGGGCTTTTTTTTTTTTGCCTGTTAAGCACTAGTTTTTACAATGAATTATACCTAATTGTCTAAAGGAATATGAGAATAACTTTTTACTTTTATAGTACTCATCTATCAAATTATTTGTTATATTAAAAACATGAGATTCTTTAAAAAAGAAATATTTCTAAATAATACTGCTATGCTGAGCAACTTAATAAAGACAAATACATTTTCATTTTTTTTTGAGAGCCAGAGTCAAGATGATGGATGAAGACAAGAATAAAAAATACAGAGCATTCCAACAAAAGTCAGTAAAACCATAATCATACTCTCTGCAAGATCTGTGGTTAGTTCCATTCTTGCATGTTTTTCTGATTAATTAAATGATTACTACTACATGTCTAATTCATCTACCCTGTAGACATTAGTAGATGATAAATGCTTCCTGATTAGAACTTATGATGACATCTGGGAAAGTTGACAACTGTAATCTACTGGCTCTTTAAAAATGTCTTTATAGGCCATAGTAGAATGAAGACTTAAATTGAATTCTTAGGTAGTGAGTCTCCAAGAAATAAAGTGCAGTATGATACAAAGATGAACTGATTCCAAGGTAAAAGCTCTGTTACATCGATTAGAATCCTAGAGCCAAAAGGACCTTAAGGATAATCTAATCTGACTCTTAACTTTTAAAGATAAGAAAAATGAGGCTTAAGGATGATATAGGTGATTAGCCCAAAGTTACTCTATTAATTTGTGTCACTGACAGAAGTATTACTTAGGTGTTTTGACTCCAAAGTAAGTACTTTTTCCAAGTATTGCTTCCTGTGTTCAGTGAAGTCTTGAATCTACTATTTCCCAGGCCTACTCACACAGTGAGCTCTTTCACCATAGTTTTCTTTAGTAGAGATAGTTAACTTTTTTAGGTGTTCAATGCCTAACATATAGTAGACCCTTTTGAACAAAGAAAAAAATGAATGAATCTTGAAGTAGGAGATACATTCTTATACTCACCCTTTGTCTATGTGCAAAACACTTCTTGAGTTACTTTTCCTGCAATCTCATTACCCTATGAAGTGTTTTGTTTATAAAAGTATTAACTAGGTTGCTATTGATACTTGAAATCAGGATCACCAAGAAAATAATACTTTCCTTGTCAGGTGCCTATGAGAATATTAGTTTTCACTCATCACAAAAATGCTTCAGGGAAATTTTCAGCATGTCATTTAAATCATATGTGTGCCAAAACTTATCATCAAGGACAAATTTTTTCCCTGTATTTTTTCTGTTGAATATTTATTACCTCCAAAGGCAAGGAACAAAAGTTCCACAGATAATTCTGGTGAAAATATCAGATTGCTGTGTTTCCTTCAATGGAGATACTGCTAGTGTGAAAGTGTGTGTTCTTAAAGATTCATTTGCAATAGGGAAAGAGTGAAAATACCTACCAGCAGAAAAGGAGTTTTAGTGCACATGAATTTCTTTCTTCAAAAGTAACAGAAAAGTTTTAATGATTAAGTCCAATTGATTCAGTTTTGTCCAATAGATCTATTGGATTAAGTCCAATAGATCAAAAATTCAGGTATACCTTTTAGCTGCCTTAGACACAATCCAATTTAATTTGTTTTCATCCACTAGATCAGATTTCATAAACACTCAACTGTTATGGATTCAGTAAATGCTTTGGAACGTGGAGCTGTGGGATTATACCCTGTATCTGTGAGATAAGCAATGCAGTCAAGAACATTGTGGCTATCGTCTACTGTTTTCAAAGTCTCAGAAAAATCTCATTTCTGCACAGCTCAGCTACTTCAAGGTTCATACTGTGAATTATATTTGAAAGCAAAGCTTTATGTATAGCATGATTCATGTATCTAAAGCTGCTTACATGAATAAACCAATGAAAGGGAGTTTATATTTTTATTATATGCTGAAAATTAATTTATGTCCTGAGGAAGGGTGTCTTGTCACTTTTGCTGAGATTTTATCAGAAATTTAAATCCAAATGGTTGTTTGAGGTTGTGAGTTAAAAACACAGACTTACATTATTTGCATGATCTGTGTTCTTTGAAAAGCCTGATTAGTTTATTTATTCAAACAGGGTTATTAATAGTTACTGAAGGTTTAATGTGTTGGAAATTAAAATGAGGAAGACATAGTTTGTTTTCTTAAGAAATTTATAAACAAGAATGGAAGAAAAAGATGAACATGACCAGCTCTAAGAAAAGAAAAAAGGGCAAAAAAATGTGTATAGAAGAAATATGTATGGTAGAGCTACCCAGAAGCAACTTAGAAGGACCAGTATTCCTCTTAGGTAAGTAAAAAACAGGTTTAAGAAAATGGTAGCAATTGACTTTCATGATGAAGATGAGTAGGATTTAAATGGTGGAGAAGATGATGAACAAAATCCTAGAGGAATTTGTTTTATTTTGAACTACTTTTCCCTTTGTTATGCTCTTTTCCTAGCCTGCTGATTTCTCTCACCTTATAAGCTTCTGCTAACTCTTTATAAATTGAGAAGACTAACCTTATACCTGTCATATGTTTAATGGAGTTTGTCCTATTATTCGTAGAATTTTTGCAGACATAAATTTTAAATTTATATGTGGTCTAATCTGCCATTCCTTTTATTTAATGTATTTTATTTAGCTTAAAAAGATTTTCTACATTGCAAGATTAAATAAATATGCCGGGACTTTTATTCAGTAGGTTATAGTTTCCTCACTTTATTATTGTGAGGTCATGCTGGACATGGCTCATCCAACCCCCACAATGAAAGGCTGGCAGGAGGCCCCTGTGTATTTCTTTGGAAATGGATTGCAATTCTCTCCTCATCTTTTTTTGGGAGGGCTTCTTGTCCTATGTGATGACTTCTTGACTTTTCCCTCTGCACATACACACTGAGGTAATATATTTTAGAGTCACTCATAAGCACATGACCCCTTTGTCTGGGACCACTTAAAACAAGTCTCAGACTCAGGGTGATATGGTCTTCCTTGGACAATTTGCCAATGACAGTGTTCCCTGAAATGTGAATAATAAAGGCTATGTCTACTCTATCCAGTACTCCCTGTAGATTCTTTGACTTATCCAAACAAGCCGTCAAGATCCTTGGGTTAGACCTCCTATGTTACAATTATGTTTAACATGTTGAACAATAAATCACTGTTTAAATCAGTTTAAACCTCAATATCTGAATTGAAGAACACAGAAGAAGGAATTGAAAGCAGGCTTCATAAAGTGTAAGATTGGATCAGAAAGCTGAAGGATGAGGTAAAAAGAAACACCCAGAAAGAGAAAGAAAAAGAAAAGTGACTTAGAAAAAGTGAAGAGGAATTAAGGGAAATGAAGAACAAAATAAAATATAATAATATTTGTATAATTCAGGTACCTGAAAGAGAAGAAGAAGAGCAAGAGATAGAAAGTCTGTTTGAAAAAGTAATGATGGAAAATTTCCATAATTTGATGAGAGAAAAAGGCACACAAATCCAGGAAACACAGAGAGTACCAATCAAGGGGAACACAAAGAGGCCCACTTCAAGACACATCATAATTAAAATGGAAAATTCCAAGACAAAGAGAGAATCTTAAAGGCAGCAAGGGAAAAACAGGAACTAACATACAAGGGAGCCTCAATAAGAATGAATAGCAGCTGACTTCTCAGTGGAAACACTCAAAGCAAGGAGGGAATGGCAAGAAATATTCCAAGTAATGAAAAACAAGGGCTGGCAAATGGGACTACTCTACCAGCAAAGCACACAATTAAAATGGGAGGTGAAATAAGGATTTTCACAGACAAAAGAAGCCTCAAAGAATGTACCTCCTAAAAACCACCTGTGCAAGAGATGCTAAAGGGTCTGCTTTAAGAATGGGAAGAAAAACAGAGAGAGAGAGAGAGAGAGAGAGGAACAAAGGTATGAAAAATGGCGATGAATAAGTACTTATCAATAATGGATTATTACATAAATGAATTAAATGCCCCCATTAAAAGATATAGAATAGTGGAATGGATAAGAAATCATAACCCATACATAAACTGCCTACAAGAGACTTACCTCAGAACAAAAGTCCTACACAGATTGAAAGTAAAGGGCTGAAAATAAATATTCCAAGCACATGGACAGGAAAAAAAAAAGGCTGGGGTAGCATTAGCAGACAAAATAGACTTCAAAACAAGGGCCATGAAAAGAGACCCAGAAGGACACTTCATAAGACTCAAGGGAAGAATCCATCAAGAAGACACAAACATTATAAACATATATGCATCCAACATAGGAACACTCAAATACATGAGAAAAATCTTGGAGGACTTCAACAAAGCTATGGACAACAACACTATTATAGAAGGGGATTTTTAACACCCTACTGTGAAAAATAGATCTTCCAAACAAAATGTCAACAGATATTGTGGCATTGAACAATGCCCTAAATCAAATGAACTTAATTGATATGTATAGAGAGCCTTTCATCCCAGAGAAGTAAAATACAAATTCTTTTCAAATGCTATGGAACATTTTAAAAGATATACCACATGGTAGGACACAAAACAAGCCTCAACAAATTCAAGAAAATTGAAATCATATCAAGCATTTTCTCCAACTGCAAGGGCTTGAAACCAGAAACCAACCTCAAGGAAAAAACTCAAAAACATTCAAACTCATGGAGACTGA